GTTGAAGGATTACATGGTTCACACCGAATCAATAACATTGGTTTCAGTGTTGAAGGATTACATGGTACACACCGAATCAATAACATTGGTTTCAGTGTTGAAGGATTACATGGTACACACCGAATCAATAACATTGGTTTCAGTGTTGAAGGATTAGATGGTACACACCGAATCAATAACATTGGTTTCAGTGTTGAAGGATTAGATGGTACACACCGAATCAATAACATTGGTTTCAGTGTTGAAGGATTACATGGTTCACACCGAATCAATAACATTGGTTTCAGTGTTGAAGGATTACATGGTTCACACCGAATCAATAACATTGGTTTCAGTGTTGAAGGATTAGATGGTACATTGAACCTAGAATATAGCATTTTAAAAATTACTTGGTGTTCATCAAATCAACAAAATGTTTTGTGGTCCAAATTCTATGAAAATGGCTTTCTATATTGATTTAGGGGTCACATGGTACACATAAAATGGGTTACCATGTTGACCAGGTTTGAATGTAAGTGACAGGGAATTCAGAAGAACAGTAATATATACACGTTCATGTAAGGTCAATGACAATTAGTCATAATAACACTACTTTGGTGATACGGATAGGTATAAAGTCATTACTCATGTGTTGGTCCCATGACAACGTGGTATATCATTTCAAGAATCAAACTTTGAGATGTTATATATATTGTATTCTATTATTGAGTATCAAGGCCCCATACCATGGATATAAATAAAATGTCGTTTTCGGTAACGAATAGAGAATGTGGTAAAACATCTAGTAGGCGCTCTTCTAGACTCCGCAAATGATGCCGATGTCATTGAGGCCACTCGAACGGGTCTCCCGGTATTTCGGCTCACGCCTCGCACAATGTGTCGCACAATACATGCTTTTGCCTATTATCTGTTGGCCGGTCGTTCATTATTGTTTCAATATATCAGTATTTTATTCTGTCATTGTCATTAACCCAGTAGAGCAAGCCTGTGAAGGTAGGTAACCTTAGACAGACACGCGCAAGTGAGGCATTTTCATTGAAATAACATATGATGTAATCCCTTATGTAAATAACAGTATTAATTTGCATTAATGAGCTTGAATGCAGCTACCTGACTTCCTGTTTAAGAGAAAATCATACACAAGTATTAAAATATCGACTTTTACACAAATCAGTACACCATGGATCCGATGTTTGTTTTTGTAAACGCTTATACAAAACTATACTTCTTGGTAAACAATTGAAAAATATGAACACTCTTCTTGCAACTTAATTTATTTAATGTCTGTTGGTATAAAAGTTATAAACTCAATATTTGGTAATTTAAGAAAAACGACTGCTGTTCCATTTACTGCGTTATGCACAAAATATGGTTTCTTCAGTTGTAAGTTATCCCACATATAACTTAATATTTCCATCCAGGCTTGCACAAACATTGATTTTATGGTTGTGTTCCCAATTGTTTGTTCTTTTGTTGTCATATACTATATAGAAGAAGAATAGAAAACACAGGCAAACTACAAAGTAAATCGGGGAGTTAACCGAGGTTGAACAAAGGCGCGACCATGTGAGGCGCTAGCACAGTGGATGTAACTGTATTTACATAATCTTGTATCCAATGTCGACATAGATTGGGAAATAATGTTCTCAAAATGTTTTTAATATTCCATTACCAGTGAGCCTAATTATTCATGGAAAGTCATTTTCAGAGGTCAAAATGTGTGAATATTGGCATAACAGCATTTCATACTTTTCTTTTAAAAAAACAAAAACACGAAAGTGTCAACTTTCACATTGCATACATTGTGATGTTTTTCATAAACAGGAAAGTGGTGAGTCAGCTGTATCTCTAGAACATTAACACCAATTATAAGTGAATTACAACAAGAAATGTAACAATACAGCCTCGTTTATTTTATATAACGTACTTTGTATTGACCGATTTATTTCCAAAAGGTACAACATGAAACCAATATTAAAGAAAGAGATGGGTGTCATTATAAAGGTAATACATATATGGGTTTTTTGATAATTCCACTAGTCCACTATACCCATACACAAGTATAACTTGAACAGTCCTAAACTTACATCTATAACCATGCAATGCTCACGTCTTCAAATAACGATATTTGTTATTTTTAAGTTTTAGTTTCATTGACTGTTTTCTTTGTATATATTTGCTGAGTAACCGTTTCCCAACTGACGGTCACTGTTTATTTACGAGACTTCCAATAAACTTAATAACTATTTTAACTGATAAAAACTACCCTGAGACCTAATGTAGTGTACATTCCATGGAATGCTGGCTACATTGCGGTTGTTGGAATTGGTGGTGGGAGTTCGTCTATTGTAACAATATTTCGATTGATTACGCATAGATAAGACATTGATTGTGCTATAATAAAGTTATATAAATTAATAGTTACTTAGTTAACGAAGTAGTATAGTATGGTATACAAACTATGACAGTGGACACATTATATATACATATGTGTATACAATATGAACGCCAATAACTGAGACAAATGATATAAAACACATAACATTGTTATAATAAACTATATATCACTTCAAGTAAACTGAAACTGACACCGAATATGCGAAAAAGTTAAATGATAAAAACACAATATGTTACGCTGATGTCGCATATATTATTAGGCACGGAAACAGTAATCATAACACACATACATTTTAAGCCTATAGATGGCGCAATAACAAAGTCGTTTTTTCTCTTCATAAAGGTGAATAAACTGATTGATTCACTCTAATTGTTTTACACAACTTAACATCAACGAATGTGTATCAGACGAGCGCCCTCACAGAGAACATACCTATCAATGAATGATGTCTCGACTGCAAATTCGCTTTAACTAAAATGGTAAAAATTGTTTGTGTATCAAGATCGAAAAACGTTTCACGTAAAAGATTAGAAAGACTCAAATTATAGCTTCTGCTTCTCAATGTTTGGAAGCATCCAAAGTCGCTAAAGTATTTATATACCATCGATCATTAAAGTACCCCATTGGCAATACTTTGGAGGCACAGCTCATCCGGGTCACCGGGGTCTTGCAACAACAAGTATAATGTGGTGACCACAGTGGCGAGAAAAAACAGGTACATCAGTGCTTTGTCCAGAACGGCTGCCACGCATGCCCATTGTTCCCGGATGTTGCTTTTCTTGTCCATCCGCCTTTGTACTGTTTTTAAGTGTCGAAATATCTGCTCCACGTGGTGCTCAATTTTACCGAACTTCGACTGTCCGAAATCGTCGAGGGTTAACTCTTGGTAGCTGGACATTGTATGTCTACTGTCATTTTTCAGACCATGTAAGCTATTGTCTCGCAGATGAAGAATAGAAGAGTTTTTGCAATTGTTCTGGTCCGTCTTCTCTTTGCCCATAGCCCGATACAGTGCTCCGGGCTCAGAGCAACACTTTCCCATACACACGAAGGCGGCGAGATATCGAAGAACAATAAGGCGGATCCATTGCGGGACCTCCCTCCTACATCCGTGCACGTTCAACACCGCCACGTTCATGGCCGTCGAGAGTGAGATTAAACACATTGTAGCTAAGTAGTACTGACCTGCAGAGGAAATAAAAGTACTGAGTTATTTTAACGGATAAATAAACATAGCGGAGTTAACTTCAAACTATCGAGAAGACACGTGTGCAGAAACAAGCGTCACCATACGAAATTTGATGTCAAATTTTGGCTTACTACTAGTTCAAATTCTTTTAGGCTTGTAGTTTGAATGAATGACAATTACTTTTAGTAAGTGATTTTGGTTGTCAATGGGATAATTGAAAGTATGACTGAGTGCGTGAGTAATTGAATGACCTAAAACAGTTACTATTGAGGATGTGATAGAGGTTTTCAGGAAGTAAAATACACACTAATTATTGTCATAGAAATGTTTTTAAACAATATCAAACTATATATTTTATGAAAGCTAATAATTCAAACTAATTAAAATTCAAGGTTACGTTAGATCTAACCATCACTTGGTAACGTGACTGCTAAGTAAATAAATCTGTTATTGAAGATTCAAGTGTGTACTGTGAAGAAATTGAAAGAGATACCCCAAAATGGGCACTTTCGTGACGTATATAAACGCCTCACTATTTCTTATACATATATTATAAAATTGCGCTACATACATATATCCCTATGTTCTCAAAGTATCATAACGTGTGTGTGTCCCTCAACACCTTGCTATTTCTGATAGCAGAAGACCGGAACATTTCACACATGCACCGTGACAGTATCGAAAACTGAGTCGATGGCATAGCTCTAATCGGACGATTATTAGAGAATAATCTTTGACACTCATTATAAATTCCTACCTATTAATGGGATTTCCTCCGAAGTCCTTGGCATCATTTCAGCGACGAGTAAGAGGAAGACAGTGAGTGACAAGATTAAGGTGACACTGATGGACGCCTTGACAACACCAACGCTGTACGGCATGAAAAAGCCCGTGAGTGCCAATGCGCATAGCAGAAGGCACGGGATAATCAGGTTGTATATATAGTACATAGGCTTGCGGCTTAAACACAGAAAGAATGTCACATCGATATACGTCTCCGGGCAACAGTCATATTCTTTAACATGCCTTTCAGTCTGCGCTCTCACTAACTGCCATTGTTCGTTTAGTATGTAGTCATCCAGGTTGGGTTTACTACTGTGATTTAGTAGGTTTATCTGTAAACCGCTGAACGTCCAAGAACCAAATTTCAACTTACATGCCTGTGCATCGAACGGGAAATACTTGACATAGATTTTACAAGTGCTCTTCAGAAGAGTCGGTTTCGACTTGAGGATGACTCTCCCTTCGTATGAGACTATGGCGTTGGATGACGATGTGTTGTCGGCCACGTAGTCGTGAGAGTCAGCGCTGAATGAAATAACACATAGATTACAGTTAGCTTAAACAAAACATTAAAATAGCACGAATTATCATACGTGCAATTGTTATATCCACGGTGCCCTGTAATATTGTTTACGACACGCGATATCATTTGACGCCGGTGTTATTGTTTTAACTGGGTCAACAAAGACCGTGGCATACAGAGCCTAATTTTGAATCGAGAGATGAGTCCTTTTCGAGTCAATCGAGTCAGCGCAAACTTGTCAGTGTTAGTCACTTTATCGTAATAACTCACGTCATCATTATCGATATTGACACTTTCCCTTGTTTGGGTTGGGAAGCGTCACATCACGTTACAGAAAATAAATAGAAATAAATAAATAAAAAACACTATGTTGCTTAGGCAGTACGGGGTCGCATCGACCTCCTCTTTGATTCTGTCCATACGATCACCATACTGTCGACGTGAAAACTTTCTTGTGACAAAGACTATTATAAACTTTGTGGAATGAGCGATGGCAAAAACACTGTTCAAGTTCAAGTTTAATTGTGCTAATTTATTTTCCCATGATGAATTTGCTGTAATGTAATGTGTGTGACTTATTAAAAATAGAAAGAATTATATCACCACTACAAAATAAAGCAATGATGTTAGCCTCGTCCTCTTTCTCTTGGCGCTTTTCAAACATTACTTCGCACAATAACACGAAATATGTAATTGTAGAAATTTTGTATAAATACGTACTTATTATACAACGTGATATCGGGTAACCAGACCTCTGTAGCAGGTACCCGAATCTCCGATAAACCATCGTAATCGGCAGGGTCCCAAACTAGAGTTTCATCCGTCCATTCCTGATTACAAAACAAAACACAGTATTGTGATAATCCAATTACACGCGTTCATCCACAGGGAGAGTAAGATTTCAAACATAGCCATGACATTGGCAAAACAAGCAGCCTCTCGGCTGAGATAGCTCCGCTGTTAGCGATGCACATTTCAATTAAAGAACAGAAGATACCATTAGAAAATGAACAATATGCATAGTATCAATTGCAATGGGACTTGCTGTTTTCAACAAGAATTCAAAAATATCATTTTTCACCATAAATAATTGTGGTTTTAAACAAGAAGTCGAAAATATCACTTTTTACCAAAAATGACAAAAATATTCACCAAAATTAGAGAATTAAAGATATCATTACAAAATGAACAAATCTGAGAGAGGTCCACATGTAGTACCTATATATGTAATATCAAAGTAATTGGACTTGTGGTATTTAACAAGAATTTGAAAATATCACTTTTTACCAAAAATGACAAAAATATTCACCCAAATTAGAGAATTGAAGATATCATTACAAAATGAACAAATCTGAGAGAGGTCCACATGTAGTACCTATATATGTAATATCAAAGCAATTGGACTTGCGGTTTTTAACAAGAAGTCGAAAATATCACTTTTTACCAAAAATGACAAAAACATTCACCAAAATTAGAGAATTGAAGATATGATCATGAAATGAACAAATCTGAGAGAGGTCTACCCAAGGTACATATACACCAAGTATCAAAGCATTCAGGCTTGTAGTTTTCAAGAAAAAGTCGAAAAAGTAAAACATTGACACGGACGACGGACGCCGGACGACGACGGACAATCACTCATATGATAAGCTCCGCTCGACAAAGTCGACAGCGGAGCTAAAAAGTCGAGTACATTCTGTCTGTGATCTGCCATATATGCTCACCTAAGTGTCAAGTTTACGTTAAATTTACATAGATAAAATAGGATCTACTGTACATTCTGTCATTTGCTCATTAATTATTCAATGCCTGCGAAATCATTATTCCAATTGTAATATCCGAATACCCAATAGTTCAGATTAGCCGTTCTGTTCAACAATCTCTTCTCTCCAAGTCCAAAGTCGCAGATACAAACCATATATTTTTTACTACCAAAACCTGTTATTACAATAACATTGGATAGTGGGTAATCACAGGCGCCCATTGTTCACGTTCGCAAGATTCTTAGTTGGGTTCAGAACACCAAACATCAACATTTTGTCATGTGATCTATTTGATATTTGATGTAAGTAATTGATAAAATGATAGTCAAGTCAGGTTACCATGGAGATGAGTGAACGTGCTTTTACCTGATATGTCCATGCATTCGTTTTCAGAACCTGGTTTCTCTCGTCCTGCAATACACAATGAATATAGTCTTAATTAAAATGCATTTATCGCGTGTTACCAGTACACAGCGCCAATGAACGGTAGGTCGCGAATGAGCGCATGCGCATGTCGTCGGATGTCATCAGATTTGTTCGTGTACGTCGATCAGGTTCTTTTAATCAGTGACCGGTACTTGTTCAACTAAGTCGCCGAACATTTCCGATCTGCAGTCGGCTACTTTCAATACTCGAACCACTGTTATTTGAAAAGATATATTAATAAATTGCACATCACAATTTAAAAAACAAAACATTCTCTAAACTACTGATGTAGTTTTTGAAGGAGATATAATTAATTCGTAACGCAGATTCCAAATGTCAGAATGTACACTACTTTGCACAGCATGAAACCTCAGAGTTTGTTCTTTTTTCCATCGAAGTTGACCTAAAATCCACGTGCATTTGTCAATAATAAATTCATGATTGATTGATTGATTGATTGACTATACAATGTCATTCACCCCACGTATATGTACGTATATCTCGCCCATACATGACCCCCCCCCGCCTTCAGAGTAACGCCATAAATACGTGATGAAATCAGTGTTTGCGGCATGGAGATCTTATGACACAGTCACGGCACTGATATCCATGGAAACGGATATTGTTGAATTGTGTATTAGGTTAGATAACTCGTTTTATGGATCTATCTGCTCCATTTCTGAATCAGTCCTTTATATTATAACATTTGAAACCCAGGTAACTGTGTTATTGATTGGCGTTCAGATGAATGCAATGCATACCCTGAGTAACAACAATGAATAAGGTGACAATGACTTCATATTCGCGTGCACTGCTAAGTCAAAATGCATTCTGAACACGAAATTTAATTTCTTCCGTGAATAAAAAAACAAACAATGAAGACAAAATCTATGTAGAAATCACAAAAAATAGCATGTTCTATTGCAATTCGCTTGGTTATAAAATGATATGAAATAATACGATCTGTGCTCAAATTGCTAATATTTGTCTTACATGTATTGAGAGTATTAACACCACGTGATACATCATAATGTCGATGTAATTTACATCAGTGACTAAACACGTTCTTTCGCTGACAGAGAAACCCGGTCGTATTTGGACTTCAAATATTAACGTCATATCATTTTGCAACAAATGGTGATGTGTGATCGTGCGCGGAAACTAGAAAATCAAAATATACAACCGCGTTGCAATCAGAGCACATCCGGAAACACTGACTGATGGGATACGGGAACCATTTCTCTCCAGGTTTGTGCGTGGCCACGTACGCATGAATAATGCTTACACTATCTGTTGACAATTAGTGTTTTACGTGTGTGGTCCAGGGCAAGCTAACTCAAGAAGAGCAGCGCTGAAACATATTTGAAATGCAGGACCAATGCTATTAAATGTTTATCGTCTGAAATAACGCCATCATTCGAGTGGAATTTAATTTTGACGCAATACATAGATATTGAAACGTCAAATCTACTCATTATGTATACGGCTACATGTGGAACCTTCTCATACAAGCTCAACAGATATGTAATACTGCATTAGCTATTATAATAATGTCAATATTGAAACAGCGTTACGCCTTGATGCATTAGGAGATTACAATTATCTTTTTTTTTTTTGCTTTTTTTAACTAAAGCGGGAGTCCCAAGCGACGATAACAACTCACGCTAAAAACGCAAAGGCTCATGGACAGACGCTTGTTTGTATACAATGACACGCTATGGCCACCTGACACATGCGTAGGTCACGACTCCCCCGCTTTAACCTCACTATTACTAGTCTGAGCTTTAACATTATAGATATTTCAAATATGACAATGCAATCTTTTTATAACGCGATTTATTTGTTATCTTGTAACGTGTAACAAACATGTCTATTTCTTACATGTTTATTTATCATAGATGACCCACTTCACTATACCCAGGACGAAGTAAAATTACACTCAAATTATAGTTTATATCATGGCACGGGGTTACCGAATGTATTTTCACCTTTCACTAAAAGGCGGCATGCTTGCATTTCGAATTGTGTTATTACCTATTATAGCAAAATAACCGTGACTTAGATTTGAGAGGGGAATATCAGAAAAAGTAGTTTTGAAATGGTTGATTTAGATTGAGAACTTATTTGATTTTAAAAACTAGACTAGACAACCCACGCTTTTAAGTGTGTATATCATCGTCTTATGGTGTTGCAATGAAGTAGTTGTGTTGAAGATAAATCGTCGTAGTATCTAGTCCGACAAATTATTATTAGTAATTGAAATTAGTAATTAGTATTGAAAGTGAACGAATATCGGCAATCATTTTACACCGTGTGAATTACAATTTAATTTAGTTATGGCGTCACTTCTTGACGGCGAAAATATGGAGAAATGTCTATTTAAAAACATTTACTAATGAAAACAACATTACTTCTCATATGAACCAAAACCATTAACTAGACAAAAGTCTCACAGGTAATATTTCGATTGACGTGGCTTTTTAAAGAAACAATGCTCAATGTCACATTGAACATTGCTGTGCCTTGAATGAATCGTAATACCCACCATTAGTACGTGAGATTTCCGATATTCGCTTTATTATTTACGCCGTTATTGTTGTAATATACAAATTCCGGAGAATGAGAAATTGAAACTACTCACCACATCAGCGATCTGAGTCACCCGGACATTGAAAAGCACGTTTACTGCATGCGTAAAATTCTTAACTGGTCGGACTCGTTTATTGTAACCTTCAAACAGATCTTCGAAAAGTTTCTGCTCGCTTCCAACTGAAAATCCTATGAGAGAAAACATGAGCGTAAAACGGTTTATTGAGAGCGTGAGAGAATGAACATGATTATATACTGATATTGTTTAGCTCTTAATAATTCTACAGTAATATAATGTCACATTTTATGTTCTGAGGAAATATTCCGTGCGATTCGAGTCATGCTTTTGGGCTATTTCAACCGACGCCTAGTGTGCGGGGGATAGATTTACAACGTCTATTGAAAACAACACAGGCAAAAGGTCAGTGTTGCTACGACATTTATCTTTTGATCGTTACGAGTATATTTAATTTCAAAAATAATACCAGATGTGCCGTTATTTGTGTTAGAAAGAATAGCCTTTTTATTTTTTTGTTATTTATTAAATACTCATTATTTGTATTCGTCCTCATTGTATCGCATTGTCTCCAAATGTAATCCCGATTACGTAAACAATCATTCTACTGAAAAAATGAAAAACGGATCGCGTGACACATATGTGTGTGGCCAGGGGGTCGCTGATTGGTCGATGTATCATGACAATCTGGTCTCCGAGAAGATTACTTGAAACACGTGGATTTGATTTCTCACTAAGATTACTGGGATCCGGAAATGAGGGCAGCTTTCAATTTCCTCTATGTTATGGGAAAGATTTGAAAACCCGGAAATGACGGCCTGTTATTTTGTTTTACAATCCGCGCTAAACCGAAACAGTGGTTTTATAGGGATCAGTTCTGCAACATCGAATTAGTACACGGATCGCGCAACCGGAAAACTGACACCCTCGTATTCCCTGGCACAATTCTCCTTTTAAAATAAAACGCACGAATGCATATGACGTTTGGACAATTTGGATAAGCTTCAATTTTTGTCATACTCAGTGATCTCCTGTACAATGTATTTTGCATATACAATAGTAGATTAAAATTACAATAGCGGTAAATAAATGGCGAATATAAATATGTACATCCATTATGATGTTTTAATCATGATATCACAGTGGCAGTGCGGGGGGGGGACATTAGAAAGTCTGAGCATAACGTCTATTTTTTGCCATATGATTACTGTAACAGCAATTTGAGTAAAAGATATAAGTTCAAGAACCACCCTAAGCAGTTGATACTTTAGGTTTGCGTAATTGAATTTAATATGAACAAAACATGTAACGCTATTTGTCAGTTGACAAAATTACTTTTCATAAACTACTTATTCCTACTTATTTGGTGGTACGTTATCTGACTACCAAGACATAGCTTTATGTGAATGCCACGTGTCTCTTTTTTTAGTTTTCCCTAATTTTCACATTCTCCTCTAGTCACAGTCCCTCTAGAAGGACTAAGTACCAGCAAAATTTTGGCTGACACGTATTCCTCTATTGTGCTTCTTTCTTCGTTCAATATTGAAATAACGTACTATAAAAGGTACTCATTATAACTCTGCCACACGACATCAAAAGCCATCCACAATGTCACAGATGTCAGAGGCTATAGATTTGTATCGTTAAGCCCCGCACATGCAATCTACGTATATACACAGTGTCAAAATACAGTGCACTTTTGTAGACCCAAGTCGAGGATTTACATGAATAAACGTCTAAACAATGTGATATACAGGGTAACAGTGTAATGTGCGTTCACTTAATAAGCGCAGGCCAGGTCAAAATGTCGCTGATGAGCTAGCACTCATCCTTGCACTCATTGCAATGATAGCAATGCATCGTGAGAACCAATGAAATTTATTCTTTTCTGTTTATAACTACATGTGTATATTGAGAGTATAACGAGTGACGTCATGGTACCAGTCTGCAATGTACAGTCATATCATTGTACCGGATCAACAATCAGACATTAAAAGTTTATCTTTCACCCTGATTAAGTTCTGTAAGTCAATAATTGGATTAGGGAATATGGCTACGATTTACCCATCGTAGCAAAACGCATTAAAGGCTCAAGTCGCGATAAAATTTAGTGATCGCTCGGGTTGTTTCATTCACAAATGAAGTTGACTATGCTTGTTGTATAGATATATTGTATCCAGGCAATGCGAGCAATTTTCAACATGTGTTAATATGATGCTATTTGTTGATGTCAAGATATATTTATGTGTACAAAGTTATAACAATGAAATGCAATTCCGTAGATATTAGCAATGATATGGCATAGTACATGTAATTTGACTGAGTGTTCAACGCATGCGCCGGCAATTCTAGTCAATAAAAAATACACCGTGGTTGTAAAAATTATACAGCCATGCATTGCCACACTACGATATCTGACATTTTAGACCATCGATCGAATCAATTCATATTCAACCACTCGTCGTTGTATTTCACCCAGAGCATGGCTAAATGACATCACAAGTAGACTGACATCTAATTGACCATTATTTATATACTACCGGAACCAGTACACTTGTCACGTGATCGATACCATGGACTATGTAAACGACTCACAAATCTCGGCTAGACGTGGGCGCCGTTAATATGAATATTTAATCAGATAATGAGTTTAAGAAGCTTTGTTCGAGAGACTGGGATTTAGCAAGCGTGAAAACAAAAACACATTAGCGCATCGTTTGAAGTCAGCAGCGATAACAATATTATATGACGTCGAGAGCCAGGGTTGTTCGAACATTAAATACTTTGATGTGTATCCATCCATGCGCGGAGGGTTTATATAGTTTTTTTGTTGAGGGGACATCAACGCAGCACCAATCTTACTTTATATGTGTACGTGATTGCATACTGGAAAGTTATTTGCAGTAAATATTAAAATAAATATATTTAAATTTTAAATTATCGCTATTTAAATGAAACATGTTACATGCACTGTGAAACGTTCATGTGCATTTTGTGTGATCAATAGCAGATCATTTTTTTAATTAGAAAAGGGAGTTGATATGATTAATATCTTTGTTTTAGTGTAACATTGTTTGTGTTTCAGTGAGAGTGATTACGTCATTTCCTGTTTCAGTATGTGTGATATCATTATATACTCCCTATGTAACTGTGTCATTCCATGCGCCGATGACGAGATAGCCACCAATGTATTTTTACTTCGTAAAAACTCGTAAACTCTCGGTACAGTTTGTATTGTGTCTGTATTCACATGACAGTGTGAGTGATAACGTCATTTTCCGTTTCAGTATGTGTGATATCATCATATACTTTCTATGTGGCTGTATCATCCCATTCGAGACAAGCCACCAATGTAATTTTGACGTCGTAAAAACTCGTAAACCCCCGGAGCAGTTTGTATTGAGTCTGCATTTACCCTAGACATGACTATCACTCGCGGCGAGCTGAATGGATAGAAATGATTGGTTATCGATCGAACATCTAATTTGCATATTAAATATATTCACAAAGTGATACGATTTATATTGAAATCAAGCAGAGTGTGTACTACTGGGTAGGCCGTCTATAGGCCATATGTTGTAGCCGCATTTCAGGTCATTGCTAAAGGTCACACGATAAAAATTACAAATAAGGTTAACGTTAATGAACATTCAACATGATCATTGAATGTATGACGTATTTCACAACCTTGATGTATAATTCGATAAACAAAGTAAAAAAACTGATTTGGAATCTAATCTAAATTTACCAATACCGACAAAATAATATTGTTGCAAGGTAGCGTCGGATGGTGGAAAAACAGAACAGTTGATTACTAGTATCACCTTCATACCACTATTTTTTAACACAGCAACTGTCGCACTTTGAAACAATGAAATCATCTAGAAATTTATTCAACAAACATATTGTTTTGACTCTAGGAATGCAGCTGAAACCAATAGAATCAATAAACCCGACTTATGTAATATACACCGGATATAGAATTAAAACAAGAGAGCATGTGCGTGTGTACAAGACTCAGTCACTTGATTTATTTTTACTTCATCAGAAAATATGACACACATTTTATGCATGGCAACGCCGCAAGAGTAATAGTTGGTGTCAGGCGTTCTCCGAGGGCACCGCCGCTCACCCTTTCATCCCACCGCCAGCCTTCTCTATTCTTTTCCGCGAGAATGTCACCCGTATGTCTGCGATCAATGTTTAATGCGCAATAACTCTCAAAGGGGAACATATGACGGTAAACCCGGAATCGAGGTATAATTGGAAGTGATCACGGAGAAGCTTTGGCATAAAACGCATATAATGAGCAGATAATAGTCAAATACTCTGGTAGTGATCCATCGCGAATAAGATCGGTAATATAACAAGTATATGAGTATATATTCATATATATATATATAATAATCTACTATTACATGCATTAAGTTGTGCACAAAACGAGTTAGAGTACGAATTACCAAGTTGTATTTCGCGCAATGTGTCCATTCCCCCGCCGCCCCAAACACTTCAGGGATATGAGTCATTGTACCAATCGTGTTATTAAAGACATGATATGGATTGCAATTGTTGTAATTCACTTTTAATTAAACGATCATTTTACTGTTTAGCACGCTTGTTTAGAACCCATTACTATCTCATACCAATAGGTAAAATGTACCAAAATAACGTGTGAGTCATACTGCCCTTTTAATGAATACGTGGCTAGCGGTATGTATTATCATGAGGTTATTACGAGGATACCTCAATGTATGCACAAAGACAGTACAGCGGGAGTATCGACCGACGCGCAGCGAAGGTCGATGCGACGGCGTAGTGTCTGGGCGCATACTTTGAGGTACCCTCGTAATAGCCTTATTATTATACATCTTTTCCTTCCAAGGATACATCATGGAAATGCCGAAATCCAAAAAGTTTAGAACAGAATCAGCGAACTTCTTTGTGTGGAGTAGGATCAAACCCTGATGGCAGCCATGTTTGTTTTTATTATTGGAAGACGCTTTCGCGCGTAATCATTCCATATTTGGGATTCGCATTTCCTTATATGGTAGGATAAAAAAACTTGTAAAATACTGCAAAATTACGACACGCTGTACCCTATGGCGTTACGGTGACAGATGTATAATATTATTGCTCTTATAAACGTCCACATGATAATTAGTATGAACCATTC